CGATGTGGACGGCCACGGCCAGGGGCTCGATCAGCGCGCCCTCCTGGAGGGAGACGGCGGAGGGGAGCTTGTAGCAGAAGTCGGCGGGCGAGGACCAGAGGCCGGTCAGGGTGCCGTCGTAGGGCGGCGTGGCGGCGAAGGCCATCTCGGGGCAGAGGTTGTACTTGCCGGCCAGGCAGGGAGCGCACCGGCGGCAGGGGTAGCCGGGCTCGAGGGCGACCTTGTCACCGACGGCGAGGGTCTTGACTGCGTCGCCAACCTCGACGACGGTGCCGGCGGACTCGTGGCCCAGGACCATTGGGTCCTTGACTACGAAGTGGCCGATGGCGCCATGGAGCCAGTAGTGGACGTCGGAGCCGCAGATGCCGGTGTAGTTGACGGCGACGAGGACATCGTGGGGGGAGGCGAGGGAGGGCTTGGGGCGGTCCTCGAATGCGACCTCGAGGGGCTTCTTGAGCACGAAGGAGAGGTTCTACAAGACAGAAAGAAGAAAGAAAGAATGTTAGCCTGTCACTCTTACGCGCAATCCATGAGAAAACAGTAATTCGGGTGTGAATTGCATACGCTGAGCTCTTCCTTGTTGAGGGACGCCATTGTGTCGGTAATGTTGGTGGAACGAGGTGGTGGTGACGTGGGAGGAGGGGCAAGATTACAATTGTACAAGAGTCGGCAATTGGATTAGCACGGTCCTGCGAGAGAAGAAGAAAATGAAAGGGGGAGAAGAGTGATCCAAGCAGAGGAGGGGAGGGACTCGTCGGCTTATGTAGCACCCCCCTCCATTATCTACGTCCGAGTCTCATCAACACGACATTTTCTGAAGTCTCTCTGTGTATGTATGTACAGCTAATTAGCTACCCCACGAGCTTGGTCTTGTGACGCGGTTGAGACTTTCCAGGGCCTGCCAGTCGTTGACTTTAGAACGGGCCGCTGTACGAGAGAGCTCCGATTTAGCCAGGCTCATTACCCGGCCCAATAGGAGCTCCGCGAATTCAGGTGGAGCAGCCGCCAACCCGCGCGAGCATCTCGAGATTTCAGACCTTTTCAGCGGGTTCCTGATAGTGAAACGGGGGTTTTGGACGCTGTCGGGGACTTCGCCGACACACGGTGAAGAGCTAATCCAATCAGAGAGCTCGTTTAAAGGGGCGACTTCGATCCGGCTCGTTGGAGCGGTCGACATTGCACCGGCTGGTGAGCCAGCCATCGATCGGGCGCTTGCTTTCTTTTTTCTTTCTCATCTCGTTTTGCCGTTCCAATGGCGAATGCCATGGGATATGTAGTGCATCAGGCGCGCATTGATGCTGGCAGCCGGTTGCCTGTAGCCGGTTTGGCTGTAACCTTGCCATGCGGGTAGCAACGCTTCAAAGAGGGGAGGGGGAGCTCCCAATTGCACGCTCCTCTGGGCTCCTCTCAAATGATTTTATTAAGCTAGTATCTTGCACTCTATCGCTATGCAAAATATCTAGCTAGTGCTGGCTTTTTAACCGGACGGCTTGTGTTCCATAAATATTTTCAAGCCCACCCACTAGCGAAGTCCCGTCATGAATCGTCACGGTTTCCCACCAGAATGGGTCGGGAATTGACAGCCACGGGATTGAGGTGCATGCATGGAAGCCTAGTATCTACCCGGAACTGGGAGACGACACCCATGCGCCGCAACGTGAGATGTTGTATCCTCGCACTTAATCCCCGCTTGATATCTTCCCGAATCATTTATGCTTCGATGCTTGGCACGTTCCTATTATGAGTATTTTTATACACAAGTTGCGGTCCATGCCCAAAACTTTTACTTCAACATATATGAATGAAATCAATACATCCAGCTTGGGCACAGGCATGAAAGCTTGGAAAACTAAATCTAAAGGCTAGGCCGACAGCTATGGCCCAGATTCTCCCGATTGAATTACAAACTGTACAGTTCAACATTGGATCCTGACATTTTCGCAGCAAGCTGGAGAAGGATGTGGACATGTGAACACTGCGCATCCTCGAAGGTCAAGGTTGAGATGAGTGTCAAGTGGCTGGAATAAAACATGGCACACCAAAGCTCTTTCCGCGTGAGACAGGAACCTCTTTTTTTAACTAAACACAGTAAGTAGAGAATAATAAGAGAATAATAAACTATTCTATAATATTAGCTTGATATTATATTCAGTACTAGGTTGTTTATTGTGATATTGTGTTGAATTTCAGTGTTGAACTATCTCGATGTGCCATATTTTATTTCACCCACTTGAGCGTATTTCGAAATTGAACCGAAACTCGCCGCCTTTTTACATTTTTTATCTCCTCACACAGCTCATTGTCATCGGAGAGGGGAGGAAAGGAGAGAGCTATCGGAGTGCAATATACGAGCTGAATCACAAGTCACACAATTTTATGAAGATGTTCTACTCTCCAGTGTTGAACCTCAACTTATCGGTCTCTTCAGACTTTCCCTCGTCATGCGCATAAAATCTCTTTGTCATGTATATTTTCATCATATATATCTTATCATATATTTCTTCGTAATATATTCCCAATCATCATGATGGTTGGTTATATAGCCGCCGACGTCCATAATTTATATTACATGCCACATTCATAACTTTTTTTTGCATTTATCGCATAATGTGAGCCTCCTGGTGGCTGACGGAATGCCTCTTGTGCTTGCTGTCATGAGGAAAGTCGTGCTCAATGGTTGGGGGGCCCAAATGCTCCTGCATCACCGAGGGAGGCACTCGGGCGGCATCCAAGGGCACTTGGCCGTGTGTCGTGCCAGTCCTAGAGAACAAGATAGTTAGCAATCCGTCAATTAATCATTTCTCAGTTTCGTTCTGTGTTGCTACTTACAATGTGTGATCGGCTGCAGTCCTGTCCTTGTGCTCGTGAACGCGAGGGTCGAGCTTGTTCAGCATCTCGCTGTTGTGGACAGGGCCGGTCTTGATGGTGTTGGCTTGATGACTGTGATGACCGCTCTGAGCAGGGATATCGTGCCGCCCCAGGCCGCTCGAGGCCAAATCGTGTCTGGCGTGGTCGGTTTGGTGAACGTTCTCATGACGGATGTTGCTCTGAGCGGGGACGTCGTGTCGCCCTAGGTTGTTAGAAGCCAAGTCGTGTCTGCCGTGGCTAGTTGTGCCGACGTTCTCATGACGGATATTGCTCTGGCCAGGAACTTCACTTTGCCTCAAGTTCTCGTGGCCCAGGCCATGATTGGTTCGACCAACGTTGTTCTCGTAGGTATTGTGAACGGTGCCAGTTCTGGTTGCACCATAGCCCTGGTGAGGAACATTGTTATGAATAGGGGCATCATGTCGCCCCAAGTTGTCAGAGGCTAAGTTGTGTCTGCCGTGGCCGGTTGTGCCGACGTTCTCGTGAGCGATGTTGTTCTGGATAGGAACTTCATCTCGCCTCAAGTTCTCGTGGCCCAGGTCATGTCTGCCATGGCCAGTTCGGCCAGCATTGTTCTCGTAGACGTTCTCCTGGTACCTTGGCTCTTCGCGAAAGTTGCCTTGGTGGAGGTTCTCTCGATGAGGAGCGGTGGTGGTGGATGTGGGCTGCATATTCTCAGTATGATGAGTCGTAGTTGGGCCCGTGAGCTTGTTCAGAAGTGAAGACATTGTGTAAGTGAGTCGTAAAGTAGATTGTAGATTTAGGTGAAGAGTGTTACAAGTAAGATGGAGTGTTCGAGTAGGACAAAGATTAACATTCGAGATTCCGAGGCGTTATATATACTTAATTGATGCTATCTTCGAAACGACTACTAGTCAGCCATTGTGCAATCTTCACGTATATCTCTCATAGCTGCTGTGCCATCTTACTTCATCGTTCGTCATCGATGGATCCAATCGCCAGATCCCCCCCACCCGCCGCTGCCCAGATACATCACTTCTCCATCAGTGCCCTGGAAGAAGCCGAAGATAGTATGAAAATAGAGCAGTTTAAGCTTAAACGCTGCCGAACTACAGGCCCCAAGCTTCTTGGGATCAGGTTCGGGATGTCATTCTACGTCATTGGCTGGAGGTCAATCGCCGGTGGCGTGGGCCCCCATGACGTTGATGACTTCCGCCCGCGGCCTAGAGGCAGCCAACTGTCCCTGAGCTTCGCACTCTCGACCCGGCTGTGCACGCAAGCCTTCAGGGGTCGAGGGGATCCTGGATCACTGATCCCTTGGCTTTTTTAGATCAAATCGAGGTTTGTGTGGCGACTCGCGACTTTCAGCCAAGCCAGCTATAGGCTCCGTCCCATTGTGGGGGTGAAGCTCAACTACGACGCTGGACTGAAAGCTCCGTGAGACGAGGGGTTTGTAGCTTTATGGGATACAGCACATTGTGTAGTCCTCTTTCGTCATGTGGGGGCACGGCCTCAGAAGATTCCTTTCAGAGACCAGTTGAGTTGGGACGGAATATTGCCTGCCTTGCTCAGCCTTACTCTTGGCCCCCAGCCAACCAGAGCTCAGCATCGCACCCCAAAAATCAATAAAAACCAGGTGATGCCCTGATAAAGCAAGCTGAACTCGCATATGATTCAAAAGTAGCAGACTAAATTGTAAGAGAACCTCGTAAAGCTGAAATGATCCTTTCTTTGCCAAACGCCAGCGCCTACACAAGACATCGGACCCCCCGTAGTAGTGTTTATACAAGATATGAACATCGTACACCCGTGGCCTGACCTACCCCCCAACATCTATCAATTCCTCCGTATCAGTGTCCACAGCCCTCCACCCACCGCACCAACCCCGACAACCCATGGCAGCACCTTCCACGCCGCCTGGTAGAAGTTCTGCCGCACGATATCCCACGCTATCCTCTTCAGCATGTCCGCCTCGTTCAGCCAGGGGAACTCGACGTCTGGCACCTCCTTGCCTAGGAACTCGCAGAGCGGCTCCCACCCGTCACCAAGCCGGTACTCCAGCAGCTGCGCCGGCGGGACCAGCTCGCGGATCCGCCTCGGGTGGGAGAGGTACGTCTCGCGGGCGTTGCGGCGCGCCTCGTCCGGCGTGCGCGCGCCAAAGAGCCCGAGGATCATCTTGCGGGTCGCCTTGCCGGCGTCGGACCCGATGAGCGGCTCGAGGGTGCCGACGGAGAAGTTGACGACGGGGTTCCACACCAGGGGGAACAGGCTGCCGAAGACGCTCCGGTGCCAGCGCTCGTAGTTGCGCTCGACGAGCAGGACCTTGGCCTCCGGGTACGCGGCGATGAGCTGGGGCCCGAACATGGAGGCGGCGTCGGTGGTGGCCTCGCAGGGGCCGTACAGCTCGTCCCACTCCTCGCGGGTGAAGGGCACGCCCGTGTAGCCGGGCAGGCAGGCGAAGGTGGCGTCGGCCGCGCGGTTGAGGACGCGCCAGTCGTCCTTGGCCGCCTTGCTGCAGTGGTGGACGTTCTGGTAGCCGAGGATGGTGAGGGCCTCAGCGATCGAGGTTGAGCCCGTCCGGGGGAGGCCTAGGCACAAGACCTTCATCTCTCTCGCGGGCCGGGGCTCAGTCTGGGCCTGGTTGGGCTGCGAGGACGACATGGCTTGCTACGGCCTCCTGCTGGGCTGGCAACATGCACCTCTCTGGGGATACTTGGGAGGATGGTGATGAGAAGGATGGCCTTCGCACAGCAGTCAATGGTGAAGAAGGAAAAGAAGGGCCAGCAGCGAGACCGTGCAGCTTTGGGGTAGGCAGTTGGGGACCCCCTCCAGGGAGGTTGGCGGTATTGATCGAATGACGGTCTTGATGGAAATGGGTCGCTCCAAACAGGTAGGTATTAGAAAGGCACCAGCCAGCTAAGAATGGACCAATGATTTCCTGGCCTTTCGGATCGACCTACTCTATCTTGCCGACCTTGCCCAGAATGGAGGCTTGAGCAGTCAACTCTTCATGGAGCGGCCGCTCGGGAGGGAAGGGAAGTCTTGGCCGAAGTTCCGCCGCACACAATGTGATGTGACAATTCCGCATTGTTGGCTGGTGTTATAGGACGGCGGCTACAATATAAGCAGGCCACATGCAGGGTGCAGGCCCCTCACATCACGGGCAGCCGACGGTGAGCGGGCAGACGATGAGATTCTCTTCGAATGTTCATGATTCGGGTCAAGATCACCCCCAGGTGAGATGCAGGAGGAACAAATGAGGTCTCATTCTACCTACCTGGATTAATCGCCAGTGCGCGCTACTGGGCAGGGGCCTATGCCATTCTCGCGGGTGCTTGTTCCAGCGGCAGGGTTCCGGCGGGCGGGTCCATTTAGCTCCCTGTGCCCCTAATCGCCAGCCGCCAGTTCCTGGCCCACAGCGGTCTAGGTTCCGCTACCGAATTGGCTGGAACACAGCACCAAGGTTTCAGTTGACAGCTGAGGCCAGCTCAGCATGTCGATTCTATCACGTGAGCCTCCCGTTGATGATACGGGCTGGGCGACACTTGTTTCAGTTCCTATCCCTTTGGAATGACTGGGTCTGTCTTGGGTACCTTTGACATGGGTTTCAAGAACCTGGAAATCACGGTAGTTCATGGTAACTCCCTTCCACTGAGTGCATATCCTACCCTTGATGAGATCAAGCCTCATGTTAATGGTAGCCAGGGCGTTGTACGTTTCTAATAGGTAGTGTTAAATCAGGGTTATTAGATGTCAACTCATCAGCTGCATATATGATAGCCAGTTGGTTCGACAGCATTGCTCGCATCGCCTAACACTGGATGTCCCAAGGTTCCGTTTCGCCAATGTGAAACATTGTGATCTCAGTTTTCCGCTACGGCAGTATGACATGAATGCCTACAGAATTTCATGATGGGTCATTCCCACCCTCTCGCCAGTTCCGTACTTCCTATGTTGCTTATAGCATGAATGGAACGCAAGGACACGCCTGTTGCGAAGCCTTTCGATTTCTTTACACGCTTGCGAACCTCAGGCGAAGTACGGAGCGTATGGATGAACACTTTGTGATAGGTATGGGCTATGCCATTCCCATTTCCTCTAGCCTAGAAAACCTCTTGTTGTGTCAGATTACGTCTGGGGAAACGATCAGACACCTCTAGACCAGTTCCAAGAATGATAAAAATTCAAGCCTTGAGAATGAAACACTTTGGAGAATGTATCTTGATGAAAATCTGTATGCTTCTACCATATTTTTATTGGTTGTTTTGCTCTTGCTACTGCGTTCGTCATGGTTGTGATATGGTGAATGGTGAAGGAGCGCGTCCAGGGCGGATTTGCCATAGGGCATACGCCCTCGCCTCTCTCCTCTTCATCGGAGGCCTTGGGAAAGCAACCATACCTTAAGATCCCGTCTTGGTTTAATTGGGCAGGAGTGACAATTGGCCGAGTCAGCACTGTCATCTCGGCTGGATATCAAAGGAGTAACACAACTGAGAAATGATTGGGTGTTCTGTTTGGCAAGGCAAGCAGATATTTGATATTCAGAATAAGAACATCGTTGTGGCGATCCAAGATGTTCTTGTGGCGATTCGAGAAGGTGAGGGCGTCATCTAATCCAATCGCCAGGGGTAGGGAAAGCGTCGGCTATATCATGATCAACTATACAGATAACTGTACAATTAATGCGTCATTCAACCTCAAAAGAGTAGGAGCATAAACTAAGGTACCTCCTTGGTGTGATATGAGTGGTTGAAGCCTTGAATACGACGAAGAGTGGCATTGTAAATGTTCTGCATACCACCAGCGTCACTCACAGAATACGTAGCATCCATTTCTCCCACCTCCAATACCCTAACGTCATCCCAAATAAGACTACCCGAAATCCCTCCCATAGGTGGTTTCTTCTTGGAAAAATTAGTTTTTAATGAGAGTTCTATGTGGACGGAATAATTTGTACTCCAACTGCAGGCCCGTCGTAGGCTAAAGGCCAACTGCGAGACAGGGGCTTGTTGACTTACTATTTCGGGCGACTAACATAGAGTGATGAGAGTAGTAAACGCTCCTTGACAAGAGCTTACGCCGTGTGTGATGATCGGTTCCATAGCCGACAAGGATCAATCCTACCCAATGCTGCAGGCTCAGCGTCCAACGTCGCATTTCCAAGCTCCGTGTGCGGAGAAACCTCAAATCAGCCAAAATTCTAGATATTTTCCCCCACTACCGAGCCACTGAGACGCAATCATATATTCCCTTAATTGCTGAGCAGGGGGGACAGAGCAGGCGGGATGAGCAACTAATACAGCAACAATAGCTTGGTCTTTTCCTTGGCAAAATATGCATATGTCTTTATCAAAAGAAGTAGAAATTAAACATGGGCTTTCTGGAATTAATTAAGTATATATATATATATGTGGTTTGTTCTCAAATCTCTTGAGCTCGTAGATGAACCGATTGATCAGGCCCAACACATATACTTGATGTGGACAAGTTTAACAGGATGCTGATCTCGAAACCACTTCATACCCTCTCGCTATGTCTTGGACTAGCGAATGTCTTGTCTGCGAGAGCGATCGGTTCGGATTCCCAGAATATTCAGAAAAGAGACCAAAATATTGTCACCTTTGATGACCACAGTCTCTTCATTAACGGCGAGCGCCTCATGATATTCAGCGGTGAAGTGCATCCATTCCGCCTACCAGTCACTAGCCTATGGCTCGACATTCTCCAAAAGATCAAAGCATCCGGATACAGTGCCGTCTCCATCTACATCGACTGGTTCCTCTTGGAAGGCAAACAGGGTGAATTCCGCTCCAAAGGGATCTTTGCCTATGATACCTTCTTTGAGGCCGCCAAGAAGGCCGGCCTCTATGTCATTGCCCGTCCGGGGCCGTACATCAACGCCGAAGTGTCCGGTGGTGGATTTCCAGGCTGGTTGACCCGTGTCCCGGGAGCACTTCGTACCAATTCGGACGCCTTTATCAGTGCCACAGATCTTTACACAAGCGAGATTGGCAAGGTCATTGCCGCCGCTCAGATCAACAATGGCGGGCCTGTCATTCTCTTACAGCCCGAAAATGAGTATCAACACGCCCTCGCCCCTTATCCTATGCCGGAGTACGATTATTGGAGCAGTGTGACCAATCAGTACAAGAAAGCCGGTGTTGACGTTCCGTATTTCAACAATGAGGCTCACATGTATGGATATATTACCGCTCACACGCCCGCCAGCGTGGATATCTACGGTCATGACTCGTACCCGCTTGGATTTGACTGTGACAATCCAGACGTCTGGCCAGCAGGCAAATTGCCCACCGACTGGCTGGCCACCAACGATGCCTTGGCGCCTGATTCTCCCTACACAATCCCCGAGGCAAGTCCATAGGATCCTCTCTGAAATAATTTTGAGATCTTTGTTAACAGAATGCCAGTTTCAAGGAGGTGGTTTCCAACACTGGGGCCAAACGGCTGGGTTTGAACAATGTGCTTCTTTGCTTAACATGGAATTCGAGCGTGTGGTCTACAAGAACAACTACGCTGTCGGTGCAACGATTTTCAACATCTACATGGTAAGTCTCTGTTTTTCTCAAACCTCCCCTTCCTAGTTGTGACCTCTTAGAGATTAACCCGCTCAGACATATGGCGGCACGAATTGGGGTAACCTTGGGCACGCCGAGGGCTTCACATCATATGACTACGGTGCCCAGATCACCGAGGAGCGTCAACTATGGCGAGAGAAGTACAGCGAGGTCAAGCTTCAGGCACACTTCTTCCACGTCTCGCCTGCCTATCTTGAGGCAGACCGCTTCAACTCATCCCTGGAATACACGAACACCGATGCTATAACTGTCACACCTGCTACAACTAACACTACCAAGTTTTACATCTCTAGGTAAGACAAAATTCGGCTAGGCCAAGCCAAATGGAACAATTCTAATACTCGAAATAGGCACACAGAGTATGAGACGACAGAGTCAGTTCCGTACCGTCTCAAGGTCAAGACAGTCGATTACGGAGATATTGAAATCCCCCAACTGGGCGACAGTCTCATTATGAACCGCCGTGACTCCAAAATCCACGTCAGCGATTACCCCGTAGGAGACAAAAAGCTCATCTATTCGTCCGCCGAGGTCTTTACCTGGTGTGTAAATCAAAACATTCACTCATCACTTCTACTTGACAGTTTCTGACAGCTTTGTAGGAAGAAGTACGATGACAAGACCGTCTTGGTATTATACGGCGGGCCCAATGAGTACCACGAGGCTGCCATTGCAGGTGAAACAGAGATCAAGAAAGAGGATGTGGAAGTGCAGAGTGGCGATATCAAGGTCCAGACCTCCGACAAGGGCTACACAATTCTCTCTTGGGCCATCTCGGACAATGTCAAAGATCGAAGCGTCGCCCTAGTCCAAGGAGACTTCTACATCTATCTCCTCAGTCAGTCACAGTAACCTGTTTGCCTAACTCCTCAAGCTAACCAGGCTCCCTCCCTCTCAGACCGCAACGAAGCATACAACTTCTGGGTTCCTCCCACCGGTTCAGGCACCGATTTCGGCACCTCAGACATCATCCTCAAAGCCGGCTACCTCATCCGCACGGCCCAAAAGGATGGCAAGTCACTCAGCCTCGTCGGCGACGTCAACGCCACCACCCCCGTCGAGATCATTGGAGGCGCACCCGCCGGCCTCGAAGAGCTCAAGTTCAACGGCCGGCCCCTCGACTTCAACCAAAACCCCCACGGCGTCGTCACCGCCACCGTCGAGTTCTCCAAGCCCGAGTTCTCCCTCCCCTGCCTCAGCCAGCTCGAGTGGAAGAAGATCGACTCTCTCCCCGAGCTCTCTCCGGACTACGACGACAGTAGCTGGGTCGATGCCGACTACGCCACCTCCCCCAACGACCTCCGGCCCCTCGACACCCCCGTCTCCCTCTACGCGGGCGACTACGGCTTCCACACCGGCACCGTCCTCTTCCGCGGGCACTTCAAGGCCAACGGCGACGAGTCCTCCCTCACCATCACAGCCCAGGGCGGCCACGCCTTCGGCTTCTCCGCCTGGCTCGGCTCCCACTTCCTCGCCTCCTGGACCGGCGAGACCAACGTCTTCAACGGCACCGTCACCGCAGACCTACCCGCCGACCTTGCCTCGGGCTCCGACCAGGTCATCACCGTCGTCATCGACCACATGGGCCTCAACGGCAACTACGTAATCGGCGAGGACAACCTCAAGACCCCGCGCGGCATCCTCTCCTACTCCCTTGCGGGCCACTCTGCCTCGGACGTCACCTGGAAGGCCGCCGGCAACCTCGGCGGCGAGGACTACGTCGACCTAGCCCGCGGTCCCCTCAACGAAGGAGGGATGTACGCCGAGCGCCAGGGCTTCCACCAGCCCTCGCCCCCCTCATCAAGCTGGGAAGCCGGCCGCCCGACCGACCCCGTCCCCGCCCCGGGAATCACCTTCTACACCGCGTCCTTCGACCTCGACCTGCCGCGCGGCTACGACATCCCCCTCTCCTTCAAGTTCGGCACGGGCGTCGCAGAAGGCAAGTTCCGCCTCCAGCTCTTCGTCAACGGCTACCAGTTCGGCAAGTTCGTGCCTCACATCGGCCCGCAGGCGAGGTACCCCGTCCCCGAGGGGATCCTCAACCACCACGGGACCAACACCCTCGCCATCACGCTCTGGGCGATGGAGGAGGGCGGGGCGAAGCTCGAGGGGATGGGGTGGCATGTGTCCATGATAACCGAGTCTGGGTTCGGCGACATCGAACTGACCCCTGCGCCGGAATGGGAAGAGAGGAAAGGTGCCTATTAGGGGGGACTATGCTGTCAAGTACGCAAGGACTTAGTTTTGAATCATAAAAAACGTCTATCAAACTCTACTGTTTTCTACGTGTGCAGTGGCATCACATCACAATTTGAACAAAATGAGCAGGTATTTGTGTACAACCAGTGTTCTATCAGGATGTGTATTTTTTTTTTGTCCGGGGGCAAAGTAGCCATTACAAATTGTTAAATATACAGCCTTAAAGAGAGAAATCCTCGGTAGGGTTGTCAAGGTGGCATGCTCGCAACTTACTCGAGGAGAAAATAAAACCAAGACCAACAACCTTGAGGTTATGTTCCAATGATTTTCCAGTTCGCCATATGCAAGAGAAGAAATTGAAGTAAAAAGCCATTATCAAAGTCGTAAGACCCTATGAGATCCATCGTCAAGACGCATAGAAAGAAGCAAAAGGGCGGAGATATCGCGACCAGATTAGATGCCGCGATCACCAGTCATGTCATTAATTAAATGAGTGAATGTACAGGTCCGTGTAAGCGACGTATTTTAGGGCAGTGAAGAGACAAAAGGAAGCTCACTCAGGGTGAGTTAGATGCCGAGAAATTGGCAGTCTTGCCAGCCAAGTCAGGAGAGCATGTAGATGACAGATGATGCGCAGGAATTAATGTAATCTCTCCTGGACATGGAGTATTGCTGCATAGCCAGCGCAGCACTTGGTGTTCATGTCATGTTTACACCATGGACACTTGATAGACATGGAGACGGATCCAGCAAATTCGTTATGCTCTTCCAAGTCCAGCATAGCTTCGGGGTCATTCATAGCCGCGTACAAGTTGCTTGGCATATCATGGTAGCACTTGCAGCAGCAGCACTGGACCAGCATCTTCGCAACAGGCTCACCATTGAGACTGGCAGATCGCACTCCAGGGGATGAATCAGAAGATTTGCGTGATGTAGGTGGAGAGGTTGCCTTCACACTGGGTGGAGCAGATGGGATGGGGGAGGGAACAACCGCTGCTGGCGCTGCTGACAGCGCTGGCGATCCAGGCATCTTGGGTGGCGTCTTGGACTCTTTAACTGGCGCAGCCTTGCGCGCAGCCTCCAGATATGATGCAGGCCAAGGGGCTGCAGCCGAAGATTCATCCTTGGACATGATCAAGTCGCGGAGTGCCGGCGCCTTGTCATCATCGGCCTTGGATTTGGATGCCTTGATCGATTTAGCCTTGTTGGCTTCCTTTTGCTGGCCATTCTGCTGCTTGATTCTTGGGAGAAGAACCGATTGAACACTCGACATGGACTCGGTGCGTCGACCCATGCCTGGGCGAGTGGGCGGGGGAAGGTCAGGGAACGCGGCCAAGACCTTCATAGCAGCGGATTGAACAGGGTTCAGGTCAACCGCACTTGCGCCACTCGTTGAAAAAGCCGGAGAATGGGGTCGCTCAAGCGCTGCCCGCGCCTCGGCGACGTGATCGAAGCCATCAACTCTCCCTGACCCTGGCCGGGAGGTGTCGGGAGTGCCTGCCGCCATCGAGGAGCGTAAATCTTCTGAATAGGAGTCCGCGGAGGAGTTGGGAGCAGGTGCGGCGGTTGTCATGGTCTTCCGGCGGTCGTTGATCCGCTTTGGGTTGTGTAGTGTCTGGAAATTGGAGAAGGAAGCCGACCGCATTTCGAGATCCTTGGAGGAGGCAGTGAGGTAGGGAGAGTTCTTGTGTCGGCTTGTAGGGCGACTCTGCGACGTAGCAAGTAAGGTAGGGTTCGGCGGTAGAGGAGGATGTGCGGATCGTCCTAGAACAGACCGAGCAGCTTCGAAGATACCACGACTGGCTGGTCGCTTGGAGGTTGTGCCATCGGTAGCGATATAAGGAATGCTTGGAGGATCAGATCTCTTGGTCCGACTGGCGCTGCGAGCCCGCGTGCCAGAGTCGCCCACATATCTCTCGGAATCTGTTGGAAATCCGGTTTGTGCACGCCGGGAAGCCATTGGACGGGGCGATTCTGTTCGAGGGGTGTCTGTAATGTTCAAGCTCGCCATCGAATCTCTCTTAGAAAGTTTTTGGGGAGAAGGCGGCGACGGCGGGGCGGTAGTGAAGGACGGAGGACTATCTATCTCGGAGTGGGAATCGTCCAATTCGTTGTTGATACTCCGTGCTAAGGGAGACGACGCCCGCGCTGCATTGGGCACAGCGGGGGCCAGTTGCTGAGAGCTCGCAGGTGACGCAGCAGGCTTGTCCGTTCCATTCATCTGAGCCATACTAGGGCTGTACCTCATCTGGTCCGAGGGTGGTGGATGGATGGCTGGCGAGGACGCATTCCGATGAGAGAAGACGGCGCCCAGGTTTTGATCACGCTCTGTGGATGAGGATTTGTTTAGCTTTTGTGGCTTGGGCTCAGATCGTAGACCGAAATGAGCCCTCCAACGGCTCATTCGACCTTCAGGCATCGCGTCTGAGTTCTGGGGCAGGAGACCCTGGGCCGTGGCGGATGTGCGTATTGAGATCGGCGGATAGGCCCGATCGTGTGCTTCCTTGGGCCCAGTCTTGGGCACAAGGAACCTGAGAGGGCTGGATGAGCGCCTTGTGTGTTTTCTGAACGCTGGGTGGATGTCGCCGCTGGCACCAATCGCTTCCTCGTTAAGAGCTCGCTGGTACGCAACAAGGCGCTGGTGCTCGAGCTTGATGCCTCCAATAAAACCGCCGCTATTGCTATCGAGTGACGGTCGGTGGGACTCGAAGGGTGATCTGAAAATGGAAGAGAGAGAGTTGGACCGGATCCGTCGAGTTTGAGGCGGTTTGGCATTAAGTGCTGCTGGCGAAGGGAGAGTTTGCTTGGCGGGGATGCCGATTGTGCTGGCACGGCGGGCTTTGTTAGTATCCTCCGGCCGCTCTTCAAACTTCACAGTCCTGGTCTGGGCAGGTTGCTGGAGGGGCAAGGTTGGCTCCGATGCTGAATGGGAATGCGACAACTTGCTAGGGCGCGGCGGCTTCGTCTTCGAATTAGGCTTGGTCTCCTTCTCGATCTGCTCCTTGCCCTGCTTCTTTTCCTTCTTGCGTCTGGCGTACGCCTCCCAGCTAGGCGACTGGCAGATAGAGTTCCGATCCTCTGCAAGAGAGGCAGCAGCAATGACAGTGCTGGGGTTTGAGGTCAGAGGCTGCTCGTGGAAGGTGACCGTCTTGGGACCAGTAGCAAGTTTATTCGGCTGGGGCAGCATTCCAGTAGAAGAACTCAAACTGATGGTCTGCACTTGGACTTGCGCTTGCCCCTTGGGCCTGGCCTTAGTCTTAGAGTGAACGGTGGAGGGACTATATGGAGCCGGTAGATCTGATTTAAAATCGGTACTGGCGGTGGTGCTAGTGGTGTTAGTGCGAGGTGTAGCGCCTTTGACATGGGTACTAATTTTGAGAGGCGCTGGCCTCGATTGCTGCATTTTCAGCTGCCCAGACACGGATTCTTCAAGGAAGTGCTTGCGCTGCTCCGCCGAGTATTGGCGGGAGTGGGTTGTTGTTGGGCGAGGAGCAGGCAGCATCGACGTGCTTGACGGGGGCTGCATCATCTTGGGAGAGGTGGGCGATGCACGGACAGCGTGCCGTCGTTCTAGCTATGCAATTGGAAGAGAAGGAGACGAGTCAGCATTTCGGGACGGAATGAGAGGAATGGTGAGAATGGTGAGGCCAGTTGGCGAGGTCAAGCATTGGCAAGCATACATAGCATGGCGAAGGGGGGGCGTGTGCGGATCGGATGATCATATCGTGATGGGAAAGGCGGTGTTGACCGAGATGTTCCATTCTTTTGGAAACGACCAGCCAGATGCACGCATCGATGCCATGCCCTGGGCGTCCAGGCTTGGCTTTTCTGGGCTGGAAGCTTGGCCGGACGGGGGTGTTTGGGTTTTTGCTGGGAATGGACGGGGACTGGGGGTACCGATATGGAAAGCGTGATGACCGCAGATCGATAGATGGAAAGAATGTAATGAATTGCAGGCAGGCAAAGCGGGTTGGGCCGGGGCTGAGGAAGAGGCAAAACAAGACAAAACAAACGGGACGGGCAAGGCAAGACAAGACAGGATTGGGTAGGGAAAGACAAGGCAAAACTTACTACACACTGCTTCTCCAGCTCGAGCATGCGCTGGAGGCTGTTGGAGCGGGCTGGCCGGGTCTGGGCATCCCGCCGGCGCTCCTTTTGCTGGCGCTTGTTGGTCGCTAGCATTGTGGTCGTCGTAGTGGTCATAGTGGTCATCGTAGTGGTCGTAGTGGTCGCAGTAGCAGTGGCAGTAGCTGTAGTCGTCGCCATGGTCTATGGGGCTGCCACGCAGCAATGTCCCACATAGAGTGCATACGAGAACGGAAGTGTGGTCGTGGTCGTATTAGCCCTCGCACCCCGTCCGCTCTGAAGGGCTGTCGGCCACTCTGGGTCTCAGGCGAAGGCGGATCCCGATTTCCAGACCCTCTTCTATTCTTTTACCCCTCCGGGTCGGTCGGGCGTGGAAGTCGCAGAGCTCCAGCCTTCAGGTCTAGCCCAATTCCCCCACTGGTGGTCAGGGGTTATTCGCCGGGACGCTTGGCCCGCTCCGGATCCCCTGGCCTGAAGCTGAGACAGCTGGAATACGGGATCGAGCGTTGTGAGCGTTCCGAATGGGACAGATGCTGTAAGCTGAGGCCGCGGGTGGCTAGGAAGCGCCCAGCAAGACGCAATTCCGGTGGCGCCTGTGCTGATCGAGCCAGGGAGTAGCAATAAAGTAGGCGCGCTCTGCAAGCCAGCTCAAGCCGCCAACTAGGATTTGCCGGCTGAAAGGGCTTGGGACGTCTGGTGAGGCCAAAATTAGCCGTGCGTGATTGGCGGTCTTGGGCAAAATGACTGCTGAAAGATCCCCAGAAGCAGCGTCACAGCCCCAGAGGAGTGGAAAGCGAGCGACTAGCTCCCGTATGGTAATCAAACAGACTGACGTCGCTAGTCCGAGATCAGCCAAGGTGGCTGGAGAGGCAATCAAAAACCGTTATGACGGCCCCCCGGGTGAGGTCGGTTTGGCGGTTGGTTGACAAGGAGAAAAAGACGACGGCGAGTTTCAAAGAATGAGGGATGCACAAGTATCGGGTGCCGAGCGCGACGGGCAAAACAATCGCAAACAGAAGCATAAGATTAAAGGGAGCGAAAACAAGGGCATTAGCACGAAGAAATGCGATTTCGTTGCACAGGCAAGGATGGGGGTGGCTGCACAAGCTGCTGCCAATACGAGGTTTGGAGGAGATCTCTGCGCTAGCTGCTACAGCCAGAGGGCCCTATCGCTGTCGCTTAGGCGGCCTAGCACCACACTCTGCCGCCATAGTCCCCGTATAAGGCTCATGGTGGGCATCGTATTCACCCTATGCCAGGCCTTGGCGGCCCGTTTTGACGGATCAATGGTGCAGCACCACAGAAACAAGTCCGTTGCTAGCAGAACTCCTCGCTTGCACCACATCACATCACGTCAGGAGGACGGCGCTGACTCGTTGATGCGAATTGCTGCTTGACCAACTAGGCACAGAGCTACCCCAAACAGGCCAGCTATCGGTGCAGGCCACGAGGCTAGTCAATCCCAAGCCCAGGGGCAGAAGCAATCCGGCACGTTCATGTCCAACCCACGACATTGATCAGCACGCCTGCAGCAGGCCGTGGCTAGTGGGAGCCCGCGTCTGACAACTTGGATGCGCTGGCACCCGTCAAAGCCACAGCTGCTCTGTGCTTCTCAGCTCGCCATGGCAGGCAGCGGCACATTATTAGGTTTGCCTAGCACGACATATAGTATGCGGATGCTGAGGTACGTGCATGTATGTAAGATGTGCACATTGTGCTGGGCCAGATGACAATGACAAACCCGCGGAACAACGCCCGGATATAGGACACAATGCTCGCAGGCGGAAAACACGCCATTGCCATTGCGGCGGTGGATGTCGCTTCACCAACATGTACGTCATTTCAATGAGTGACATGACATGATGCAACGCCGTCTGCATGCTCGTATATGGCAATCGGATGACAACCACCCAGGTTATGCATGGAGCTGAGAGGGCCCAACCCTGTTTTCTCAAGTCCGTTCGCATTGTGCTATTCAGAGGTATAACCCGCATGGACACACCGCCCAATTAGCCACCCTAGATGCGTTGGGCAGAATACGAGCCCAGTCTCTGGCTCCAGTCTCTGGCTCCAGTCTCTGGGGAGCCTCTGACACGCATATCCCTTTCTGAGGTTGACTACACAACCCTCTCTGTTTGGTAGATGGTTCAGCTCTTATCGATCTACGGCAGGGACCCTTGGTGGCCTCCTCTCTATCCCAAGCTGGGATTTCGCCCGAGTGGGGGAGCCTCGGGAGTGAGCGCAGAGGCTAGAACACACGAAAAAAATTCCCCCGAAGTTCCAGCCCTGGCTCAAGCTGACCAACCTCCGAGCTCAGGTAAGCTGCTGCGAGGCCATTTCAAAATCCTCGGTTTTGCCCGCGGAGGCCATGCACCCATGTCACCTGAATAGATCTGATCGTGGCAATCCCTACAAACACGCGTCGCTACCCCTGCCCCAGCAAAGGTTCCTTCCGCTCTCTCTCGAACGCATATCAAGGGTCCTCGCTCGCAAGCATCACCTTCGCATGGATTTCGTCCGCGGCGGGGATCAGAAGAGCATCTTTGCGCAACCCTGAAACAGATCTGGTGCCCGTAGTTGCTGCGCCGGCATCAGCCATGACGACATTCAGCCTCGCAGCCAACTTCGGCTCCCGCCCCAGGCTCCCCGCCAATGTCTAACAGCCCAGTCGAAATTTCGATGGAATGTGCCACAAAGCTTGCCCAACAACCTCCTGCATTGCACTTCTGATTGGACCGGGGCCTAAAGGGGGTGTTGCCATGCTGATCTCTCTCTGCCCTCCCCAACAACGCTGAATCAACCCGCTCAGTCCCCGTTACATTTGTCTCAGACATGCGGGAGAGCTTAACCCCATTGACTCCTTTTTGCTTCTTCCAGCGCTGACCGTCTCTTTCCCAAACGAATCTGATTCCCGTTCGCCATCGGCAGGCTATTGAGGGCTGCCGGGTGAGCCAGAGCAACACGGTGAAGCTGCCTCCATCGTCAGCTGAGCAGGGCGGTTGGACCTCGTCCGCAGCAAACCCAAACTCCTCTTAATGCAGGCTGATGCAAGGTAGTTAAATTAGCCCAAAACTAATTGCTGCCTGTGCAGCGGCTGGTGAGTAATATATTTATGAATCTATAACACAAGGCCAAGACATGCATAGCTCGCCAGAAGTTGCGCAATATGCAACTACTCCATTTAATTACAGAACTCCATATAGGTAGGTACCTAATTTAACATTTAGGTAGTATCGAGCTGACCCAATAGCGGGTTTTTAAGTACAATAAATAGCTGGTACTACGCTGCGGTCTTATTGCATTCCTATATTTAAAATAAGACATGTATGAGTGAGGTCTTGCATCATCTTGAGCCGCTTCCGTCCTCTGCCCTGAAGCCCTGCGCCAACATGTTTCCGAGAGTCGCACAAAGGTGCCTCCCAGTGAGGATATTACCCATAGCGTACGCTCCAAAGTGGACTATCTCGACAGCTGCAGGCTCTCTGAAACATTCAAATTTCAAAGCTCACATGTGCAGTCAAGAATCTACCTGGCATAGAGAATTCCGTCTACTTATCCGCGGCTGGAAAGGAGATAGCGGCTAGGCACCACAGCCAAAACCCATTGTCTAACTCGTCTTCTAAGTGACGGTACCTGTTCCAAGCTTCCTAGATGGAACCCACAAAACGAAGCTCCAATCTAACAAGCGTCTCGCACGCAAAACAGAAGCTCTCCCCAACATTCCAGTCCTTTCGTGAGCCAGGTAAAAGTGTGTAGCCCCTTAACAACGGTAGAGGTCCAGGATGCGCCGAGACCCAAGAACTGGTATTCTGTGGCTGATCAAAGCCATCAATCTTCCAGCCTCGCTCGGTAGCCCGCAGACGAACTCAATACGCCATCCCCACATAACCGACAGCTCTCATTTCATTTCTCTTGTCGATATTCGTCTCCTGACTCTCGTTCTATTGACTCTTAAACCCCTTTTGCTCGAGTTGGTCAGTTGGCCATGGGGCTCGTAGTAGGAGCCAGCAGATACTCCGCCGCGCTTGAAAGTTCCACCTAAATTAACAAACTATCAAACCTTTCCGTTATTCCTTAGGACTACAGGCTTTCGGAAGACTCAAAAAGTCATAGGGCTTAGAGCGGACAGCTCAGCGTAGACACTGTTTAGTAACTCCACCAAACATCTTTGAGGCATAGATACGGCAGCTTGTTTGATTTTTCCATAAAAAAGGTGATATTGTTCACGTTTTACCGAAAGTCTCATAGAGAACAGTATCAGGGATTTAGTCGGGGGGGGGGTCCAATTTGTACAGGTTTAGGGTCTAGTCAGGATCTCAAGATCTTTACCATCCAGTCTTAGCAGAATATGATTTTCTATAAGGTTGTTCACGAGCTTTTCATGAACAAAATGCGTATTTCGACAAAATGTAATGCTGCAGACAATGCATGGCCTGCTCAAGCAACCGGCTTTGAAGGGTAACGAACCTCATTCAACGGTTTACTTGAGCCTAACTCTTCATTGCCGACCCTAAGGCAAAAATACATGGGCTATATTGTTGTCCCTACGATAGAAATATATCCTATTCAAGTCATCAACCCTAAAGCATGAAGTTATGAAGCGAGGACATCCCACCAAGCTTCATTATGGATGCGTACCCTATACCACATGCAAGCGCTAATATGCATCTACACGGGTCGGCGAACTGTCACAACTGATGATGAAAATGGCCGAATTATGCGTGGCATTTTTACGGTCCAAATATCCATTGCGTAACTCAAGCACGATGGGAAAAGGTAAAACCAACCATGCCACTGCACATACTACCTCCAATTACAACCACAGAGAGTCACGATAAAGTAGAGACTGGTCTTGTTAGTGCGCATTATCTCGACGTACATACTGTAGAAGACCAATATCACATTAGTAATCTCCTACTTGAAAAAGACCATTTGTTTCCACCGTGGGTTTGTGTGTCTTCATTTTGCACTCTTACTACGGTAGGATTCAGCTTGGAGTCCTCGGCTTTGAGCCCTCAACCCTCAGACAAACGAACCAGATACCCGACTACGCAAATAAGGTGAAAAGACGACTGGGGGACAGGCGCCTCTCTCGTTCTCGGAGCCGCTTTTGGAAGCGTCGTTCTGGTCTCGTGAAGACCTAAGAGACGATCTCCTCGGTCACTGAAGCCACCTTTTGGCTTGCTACTTGAAATTTAGTGATGGATTCCCCGGGCGGAGGCTGACACGGCTTGGCAGTGCAGTCAGAGATGAAACATGCTCTAAGGGAGCTTAGCCGTGATGATACACATCTTGCTAGGATGTGGAGGAAGGATACACTCACTGCGATACAAGCAGGAATCAAGCCAGCTAAGTGCCTTATCCAGTTCTGGAGCTAGGCTTCAAACAATGGGGTCAATTGGAGAGGAAACTGACAGCCGGATCCTATTGTGAATTTATCAGTGGCACTTGCTCGGTGGATGGCAAAGGACGGACCGTTGGTGGGCATAATATTCTCAAGGGAAAGCCTCTTGTTGCAAAAGCTTCCCATGATACTGAGTTAACCCCTTAACGGTGTTATTAGGGAGAATATCCAGAGAATGGCCGATCCAGATACCAGGACTTGTCTAGTAGAGGCTTCTGACTCTCTGCACAAGCGCCGTTGGACCATTCTTTGATAAGTTTGGGGGGGTTGTGTTCTTTCCACCGATCAAAAGAGCAAACGAAGATAAGAGACAGCGTGAGCAAAGAAATATCATTGATTAAAGGTTCATTTTCCGTCTTTCACCAGGATGTTAAAAAAAAGACTTCGTGCCAAATTTGCTGCAATTTCTTTGAGTGGTAAAGAAAGAGAGACCGTCACACCGGCCGGCGTAGAAGTCATGGGAACAGTAGGTACCTGGTGTTACTGGTATTATTTATCACTCTTTTCAACGAGCCCGCACTTGTGATGAGATGAGCTGGAGAAGATTTGCTAAAATATATTGAGACCGCAAGGCGGATTGATCTAGGTCTTTTCTATTACACAGAACTCTTTAGAAAATTGGTATCCTATCTAAAAACTATCGCTATTGTTTGGAAATGAACATGCTAGAATTGAGAAATAACAGCCAAAACTCAAGACTTTACTCGCCCTGAATATCGCTCGACATCCCCGGGGCTAGGACAAATATGAGTCCACATCTCTTCCGTGTGCGCACTTAGGTCTTGGAGACCTTTAATGAATTCAACTTCATCCGAAGCCTGACGGAGTATCCTGCGTTTGAGAACTCGACACCATGCCCGGAGCCTCACCCAAAACTCATTCTGAATTCGCAGCCTCATAGCTACCCACTTGTGTTCGGGGGCATGATCTGGCAGCAAGACCTCTTCTGGTTCCGATGGAGGGTCTTCCGAGATGAGAAGCTTCTCATCATTAGGCCAAGCGGTATGCTCTGTCTGCTCGGAGGGAAGCACGATTTTGAGAAATTCAAGTGATGGCGAGACACAAAGAAACAGAGCCCGGATCGGGTTGACCATTGTTTTTGTGAAGAGAGACATCCAGTGAGGGTAGAGGATAGCAAAATCAGACATCGTCAGATGCGTTGAGCCAACAATAGTCATCATCCAGCAGAGGGCCCCGGATCCACGAGTTTCATTACAGATGTCCACAACTCGCTCAAAGTTCGCTCTCCAATGCATGAATGCCTCAGATGAAATGGAGAGCAGAGGCTTTTTAACCGTATTGTGCGGCGTTTCTCCTCCTGGCGGGGTCCCTTGGCCCCAAATGTCTAGGACTATGCCTTGCCCAACCCATGATAGTGAGTCATCCCGGAGTACTTGGACAGTTGTTGCGCCCCCAAAGGAATGGCCCATGACTGTGACATTCTTGAGGAACACCCGGCCTTTCCAGGTGTCCCACTGAACACCAGTCAGTCCTATCGAGCTCGATCCGATATTTCCCTTTTTCCGAAGGTTCATGGCTGCGACTGCGTCTCCTTGCCCTCCATTGATCATCCCCAGAACGTGGAACGCTTCCTTGATCTCCTCAAGGCGGAGTTGGATCTGAGCTGATCGCAGCTTCCGGTCTACCCCTCGGGGGTTGTGAGGTGCTGTGTCTTGAGCATTGTCTTTGGGCAAGATGTAGTCGACAACATAATATGGGTTCAACTCCTTCTTCCTTTGCCTCCGAACATGCTTGCGCTCTCCACCCGGAGATGTGTCGTCGCTGTGGTTGTAAAGAACGGCTGTCGAGGATTCTATCTCGTTGGCCTCGATATCGCCCGGCAAGCTGACATATGTGCGCGCGCCACTTCCATCTCTGTGTTCCACAGCTACAACGACAAAACCCAAACTTGCAAGCTCTCCGCAGATCGTACTATAACATAATCTTGAGCCTCCCAGCCCATGGGAGAAAATGATGACGGGAAACGTGGGCTTGTCGGTGTCTTTTTGATCTTCTCCCTGCTTGGAGTCTTCGCTGCTCCTATTGCGGTCGGGCCAATAGTCTGCAACCTTGGCATTTCGAAACGCGGGCAGTTTGGTGAAGAGAGAAGTAGAGGCAAGATAACCAGCTACTGGGAGCCAAGGCAAATTCATCCATTTGGCATACCCCTTGGCCGTAGCGATCCGTGGCCGGGGCATCCAATTCACTCGGTGGAGGGTATTTCGACCATCTGGCGTCTTAAGGTCCTTCCGCAGCTCAGAAGGATAGTAGATGCCCATCAGGACGGTGTCCAGACGAATAACAGGCTTTCCGTGCCGTCTCAGTTCAGAGACAGGCCGGGGGTCCCGAGCCGGGACTTCAATGTCCATATAACCAACATTGTAGGGTCCAGTATATGTCGGAAGCCGGTGTGTGAATCTGTCGCGTAGTGTCTTGGGCGGTACTACAGGCGGTTTGGGTGGCAGTTCAATCTCGGCAGGGATCTCCATTGTCACTGTGGTATTCAAGAACAAGACTCGTATGTCACAACATGAGGAAAATTTGAGGAGAATACGGATATTAAATCAATACCGGGTTTACACCTAATATATTACGATACGTCTCCGATCGATCTGACCGTTGGTGATTGCGGGTCGCGTGCTCAACTTTGCAGGAAGATGCGTTAGCGTCTATGACGTAGTTGACGTTGACGTACTTCATGTGAAGAGAGCATCGGTAGCTCGGCTCAAAGGCTTGTCCGAACGGCGCGACACGTGAAACAAAAGCATGAAGTTGTTTGGAAACAAGTAACATCACCCAATTGCATATCGAAGTCGTCTGACGAGAGAACGATGTTTGCCTGACTAAACTCTTGCCGGTTCAAAATAATGGCAGGCATGAAGAATCTAGTGGCGCTCCTTCTCTGTTATGTGGCTGACTAAGGCTGGAATGCCTGGCGCGACTGGTGAGGGACGATTGGCCGGGATCAATAGTAACGATGGCTTGAAGAAAGTGAATAGTTCGCCGATGCCTCACTATGACTCAAGCTTATTGCCACACAGCAATATAAGTATCAGTCTTCCCCCATTGACATCAGCTGGTAAATCAACGTATTTTGCTTTGGACAGCGGCTATATCCAAACAATCCGGAGAAGCACGCCAACATCAACCAGGAAAAGTATTACATAAGCGACCGGTGAGTGACTCAATCGGCGAGCGGCGGCGAAAAGATTTCCCGAGTGGACAAGGGCAAGTTTAGTGTCCCCGCTCACGTGAATCGATCTCCCACACACAACCATAGCGAAACTACCAAAATTCCTGACAATCCACGTTGTAGACTCACCATCCACATCAACAGTACAACAAATCCATCAAAATGGGCAAAGTTCACGGATCTCTCGCTCGTGCCGGTATGCTGGATCAACAATCCCTCTACTCGCAGAAACTCATTGCTAATCATTTCTGCAGGAAAGGTCAAGTCTCAGACCCCCAAGGTACGACCGCACAACCCACGATAAACTTCCACGATTCCCGACGCCCGAACAGCAGCTGACAAGGTTTTCTCCCATCACAGGTCGAGGCCCAGGAGAAGCAGAAGACCCCCAAGGGTCGTGCTCTCAAGCGCCTCAAGTACACCCGCCGTTTCGTCAACGTTACCCTGACTGGCGGAAAGAGACGAGTGAGACCGCCTACCCCGGCCATTGACCCATCGCCAACCAGAATTCTAACAAACATCTCTGCAGATGAACCCCAACCCTGGCTCTTAAGCAAATCATCCCCGACCAAGGAAAGATATGGAGGGCTATCCAGGTTGCCATCGTTAGGCGCGACGCTGCCAGGACTGCATTGCGAATTTAGTGGCAGTAAGGATGGAATAGGTCAGGCCCAATGCGCCAGCCGAGCACCCTCTCTGACGAGATGGAAGTGCGAAGAAGCGGCGGTGGCCCTACTCGGCGTCAGGTGTCGTTCGTCAATAAACTCAACCATTCGTCCGCGACTTTCTCTCGTTGGAATTTGCACTCAAGTTGTGAAGTTGTGTCCGCCAGATACCTGCATAATTGTATACGCTACCTTTTCTTGCGATCATTCTGTTGTACAAATGCACGTAATTGCCCATGAATTGCCGACCATGTAGTGAACGCGTAGACTCGAAATCTCGAAACACGGCCAAGTTCCATTAGCCAGTCAACTTCGCCCGCCCAACTTTGGCCCATTCACGTGACCTCCACCCACTGTGCGACCGAGACTCAGGTCGAGCTCTCATCCAAGCATTCTTGGATGACAAGCAACCATCCCGCTCCAAATTCACTACTTTCTCTCTACTCAGGCCATCCCACAAGCGCACGCAGCCATGGCGGACGTAGAAATGGAAGATACCGGCGCAGGCTCACCGCCCGCCGCCCGCAACGAGTCCGAAATGCAGACCCATACCAAGGCCACGGCCGTCCGCTCCATTGAAGGCTGGATCATCGTCGTCACCAACGTCCACGAGGAGGCCGACGAGGAGAGCCTGCAAGACAAGTTCGGAGAGTTTGGCGAGATCAAGAACATGCACCTGAACCTGGACCGCCGAAGCGGTTACGTCAAGGTAAGGCATCTCCCACTACCCCTCCAATCCGCCCTCGAAACCGAGGGTGTTTGATCGCGCAGAAAGCTTACCAGGACTGGTGGGGTGTCTTAGGGCTACGCTCTGATAGAATACGCGACTCTCGAGGAGGCGCGCGCGGCCATCGACAACGCTCACGAGACCAAGCTGCTGGACCAGACCGTAAAGGTTGACTTCGCGTTCGTGCGCCCTCCGCCCGGACAGGGCAAGGGAAACAGGGCCAGCCGGGCACGGAGAAGAAGTCGCAGCAGAAGCCCCGAGGCTAAGGAGCGCGAGGAGCGTGAGGAGCGTGAAGAATGAACGAGAGAACCTTGGAATCCCCCCAAAAAGTACGATTTACAAACGCGATGTCAACAAAAGAAAATTAAAGGGTTGATCAGGCTGGGTGGACTGAAAGAAGAGAGACCAAAGCGCCGACGTGTTGTACCTAAGGGCTGTGCCATGTCGGCACATAATATTATACTCTACGAGGTTAGTAGACTATTGCACTACATCAACTTCGGCAGCATATTCTAATGTTGGGCAGAATGATCAAAGTCAAATATGCTGAATCCTCAGATATTGTGTGATGAAGCGCAGGGGCACCTATAGCCACTAATGGATGCTTGCCCGTCTTTACTAGAGCGTGCTTGCTAGGTGAGTATGTTTCGGTCATAGCAACGGTCGATGTAATTGCAATGGCCATGCCCAACTTCTTTCTGTTCCTGTTGTCCCAATCACCCCAGACGTACACAGATACTACCCTCCAAGATCCCGCGAGCAACACCGGACTCTTCTCGTCTAAAAACGAGGCCAGACGGCAGAAATTTTCAAGAAGCCCTAGCAGGCTTCTATTGTTATCAGCTCTCGAGTCCTTTGACCCCTGTAACCCCTCCAGATACACGAGGTCACGCGGTATAGCACTAACCACATTATTGATCCAATATTCTCCCTGTAGCGGAGAGCGACAAGTGGAACGTTACCGACAGCTGCGTGGAAATGGTTACTCTCGACTAACTGGGTTCGCTTAGAGAAGAGGTTTACCATGCTTTTCCCCTTGAGCTCGAAATCAGAGAAGCAAGTTGAGCCGAACCCTAGAAATGCCCCGGAAGCGAGTATCAACATACACTCTCCAAACTTAAGTATGGATGTCACAACCCTGGATTCTATAACCCTGCTCCAAAGTTTTACCAATTGCAGTGCCTCCTTGGTATGCACAAAGAGGCCGTGGCCATTTAAATAGTCTACGGACAAGCCATCATGTGCGTGTATCTGATCTCCGCCTGCGTATCGAACTCTAGCCATAGACAGCACCTGGCATCTAAATTGTTGAGATTCCTCTCGAAGAAATATCCATCACGAACCCGGGGGCTAGAGATTGAGACAAGGTCTCTTGCAAATCTTCGGGAACTAGATGGGATTGTTGCCTCGAACCGTACTGATATACCAACCTCGGTGGAATCATTGCAGTTCTTGCATATATCTCTCACCAAACGGACTTTGGCCAGTCGGGTTTCAGTGTTCCAGCGTGGGATCGGACATGTAGTATCCGGGGAAGACCGGCCCTCTTGACCGTAGCTCATGGATCTATCCGGACTTAAAGGAGCAGGGAAGTGAGCCCGATCACCTCCAAGTCACCTCGTACTTGATGCCTAATACTCACACTGATAATACCTCCCGCGTAAATACATTGCTGTCTTCTACTCGAACCATTTCACTTGTTCACTTCGTTTAGCTAGCCACAATGTCTAGTAGCGGCATCCCACCACGCCCATCACGCTCCCTCGTCGGCAAGGTTGCCATCGTGACTGGCGCGGGGTGCGCTGACGGTGGGCTAGGCAGCGGGCGCGCCATCGCCATCCTCCTCGCGGAAGACGGCGCCTCGGTCGTCTGCGTCGACCTCGACCTCGCACTCGCCGAGAAGACGGCGTCGCTGGTCAGCGAGGAGCACGCCCAGAAGCAGCACGGCGGCCGCGGGCTCGCCATGCAGGCAGACGTCTCCAGCCTGGAGGACTGCAGGGCCGTCGTGCAGAGGACCAAGGCGGAGCTGGGCAGGCTGGACATTCTGGTCAACAACGTGGGCATCCTAGGACCCCGGGGCACCGCGGTGAGTACCGAGTTGGCGGACTGGGCAAAGGGGCTGGAGGTCAATGTAACGAGCATGATGCTCATGACCAAGTTCGCGGTGCCGGCGATGCTGGAGAACGAGCGCGGGGATGGTGGCATCCGCGGTAGCATCGTCAACGTGGGGTCGACGGCTGGGCTGCTGGGTGGTGCGAACGGCCTGCTGTATACGACCAGCAAGGGTGCCGTGGTGCAAATGACCCGGGCCATGGCGGTCGATCACGGCCAAGATGGCATCCGGGTCAACACTGTCTGTCCGGGTACGTAATGCGTCATGTGCGGATCAAGATGTGGTAGAGGGTAGCTTCTCCCCGCAGAACGGGAGGCTGCCAACGCAACCATGTATGATGATGATGATAGGCTGACGGTGCAATGTATGAATCATACTGCAGGAACGATATACACACCCATGGTATACTCGAAAGGGATGACGGATGAACGTCGAGAGGCCCGCCGCGAGAGAACCCTTCTCAAGACCGAGGGCAACGCGTGGGACAGCGCCGCAGCAGTGAGGTTCCTCGCAGGAGGCGATGCGCGCTGGATCACGGGGACGGTGGTGACGGTTGATGCTGGTAGCATATGTTACAGTGAGTTTTGAATGGGCAGGGCCGAAGCCGAAGCTGGAAGTGGCTGCTTCTGCTGGCTGCACGACGGGCCACAAACAAGCAAGATCGGGGCTGGAATGGATGGTGAGTGAAACATGCGGGCGGTTACGTTTGGGAGAGAAAAACTTGGAAGTAGCACAGAAACGAACGATACGATATAAACTCCACACAGTTGGCTTGGTTGTTGTGTGTTGCGCAGAGAGCCAAGTCCAAGTGAGGGGCTGAGGGGACCTTGTGTTACCTTATAGATTTAGCTCTGCAGTTAATATTGGACTGGGGATACAAACACATGCATACGGTAGCGTGATCAATTGATAATGGAGAGCTGTCATTGGCTGTTGTAGGCACTGCTTGGGTCGTTGGTCATGCCGATGAGTTCATTTGTCTGGTGGTGACTTCGATAGGCTTCTCACCTATCGGCACATCGCCAAGAACCAAGGCCAACCACCAAGACCAAATGCTACATTCAGGTAGGTAAGTCGAGTTGGAGATGGTTGGATCACTAGCGCTGTAACCTTCAGAAGGCTGGCGGGTTACAGTGGGGCTGAGTGACTCTCTCAGTCTCCTGCCAATGACATGCAATGACATGTGCTGCAGCTCCCTTGATTGATTAATGGCATGCATTCATGGCATGTCATGCTGTGTTAATGTGCTCGGTCGTGGTCTGAGCACTCGCAATGTTCAGCGGCTAGCACGGAACTGCTCCTCGGGCATCTCGATGGCCGCCGGCGATGGCAAAGGTCAACAGCCGAGGGCCCCTTGAAGGATCTTGACGGCGGCAGCCAGAGTACCAGTGCCGTGAGCGCTGGAGTGGCCCCAATCAGCAGGTGTGGCAAAGCACATCAGGCCAGTGGGAGAGCGAAAACCTGTCTGAGATTGCCCCTGGTTTCAAGTCCAGCATGACCCAACAAGCAGATTTGCCTTCTGGAGGAGCAGTACTATGTAAGCGGCCTACCGTTGCGTGTAGATTGATAGGATTTGGGCGGAAATCATGTCAATGCACATCACCATCGAATCGGTCCTTGTTGGGGTCCGGGACTTCCTTAGCGCCCTATCATATAGGCTGATGGAAGGTAGTGCTTGCATGAGCATCTGCTATTCATATCCAGCCCCTGCACCACGATGTGAGGTGAGTGTCCATCTCAGGGCCGATGGGAAACCGACCAGGCCTTATTGATGATTTTCTCCCAGGGTCTCGTTGACTCCCTCTGGACTGCATCTGAAACGCGCAGTCTGCAGCGTCGCAGTTCTTCTGGACTTGTTCGCAGCAGCCATCCTGGTCTAGGTTAGCCGGGGGTGGCGAGCCTCCTGGGACGATTACTGCCACAAACGCAGATAGTCGCAGGCTAAGGGACTGGGACAAGGGCTGTGTGTTCAGGAATAGCAACTGCCAGTGCCGCACCGAGCGCAGATCCTCATCATGTGCCAGCGCCCGGCCTGTAATCTCCTGGCTGTGCCCTGAGGATGTCTCGGTACGCCCTCGCAGTCGTTATCCGATTTGCGGCCGGACGGGGCGTTTGCCTTAGCGTTTCGTGTTTGGAATTAGGGGGCCATTCATTCACTCTGTGCTGCCCATCTGACACTGCTGGGCTGAGATAACCTTTGCTGGTTCGACCGTCATAAAGCCTCGTCGGGCCTCACTTTCAGCTGGGCGCGTCAGGTGCATGTACAGGTACTTGCTGGATGCCTGCAGAACTGACTAGTATTCCAATATATTCCATACAATATCTCTAGCAGCAGGTTTCCTATTCAACCAGTCACCGACCTACCTATGTAGGCAAAACCCGGGCTTGGCTCGCCCAGACAAGACGAGACGAGACGAAGAACCAGCGGACAAGAACCAACCACGCGCGCGAGCCCACTCGAATCCTCCTCCCTATCGCAGCAGCAAGACAGTCGTCCAAGCTCTCGAGCTGTTACATCAGTCCCTGATACCACGATCCATTGGAGCCTTCCCCCCGGCTGCCCCCCTCCATCTGCCACTTTGGGACCTGGATATCCCTGCCCCAGCCAATTGCCCAGCTGCCCGCTTGGTGCAGAGCAACGGCTGTTACGTAGCACTAAACTGCTGAACCCAGTCCCTGTTCGCTCTGTTCCCCGGTCTCCAACCAAATTCTCCTGGCGCGCGCTCGTCGGCAGGCTCTCCCGTCTCGGGAGTGATAGACACCAACCAACTAAGCTTATGTGCATACATATATAAAAGCCCTGCCGTGTCCCATCACTGCCTCATTCCCCGATCAGCTTAATCACTTGGTACTCCCACCAGTGTTCTTTTGGCCCTTTTTTCTTATTTGGATACTTGGTTTCCATTGTCTCTCCTTTCTCTGGGTTTCAACTGACTAGTACTTATATCTCACCTCACCCTTGTCTTTCATTTACTTGACAGTACCATTTGAAACCTTTTTTCAGCTTACTTGCTTACACCACACACGTACATCATGATGCTGCCCAAGACAGCTCTTGCTGTCGCCGCTCTGGCGCTCAGCCCTGTGAATGCCATCTGGCCCATCCCCGTTAGCTCCAACCTGGGAAAGGAGACTCTCTTCCTTGATCAGACCGTCAAGGTCACCTACAACGGCCAGGATGTAAGTCGCCCACGCAGATCTACCTTGCCGCTGAGTGAGTGAGACCTAACACGAGACTTCTAGCTCGCCTACGCCGTTGGCTACACTCACCCCAAGGGAACCAAGTTCGACTCCAAGTCCATCGTTCAGGGTGGTCTTGAGCGTGCCTTCAGCGCCATCTTCCAGACCGGCCTGAACCCCTGGATGCTCCGCGAGCGCGGCTCCAGCTTCGAGCCCCAGGCCGGCAACGGCTCCTACATCAAGACCCTAGAGATCAAGCAGACTGGCAACGACACCCAGAAGACCTGGAACGGTGTTGCCGGCTCCGTCGATGAGTCCTACAAGCTGTCCCTCGACGGCGACAAGGCCAGCATCTCCGCCGTCTCCGCCATCGGCGTCCTCCACGCCCTCGAGACCTTCCAGCAGCTTTTCTACAAGCACTCCGACGGCCAGCACTACTACACCACGTCCGCCCCCGTCGAGATCGAGGATGCCCCCAAATACCCCCACCGTGGTATCCTCCTCGACGTCTCCCGCCACTGGTTCACCATCAAGGACATCAAGCGCACCATCGACGGCCTCGCCATGAACAAGATGAACCGTCTGCACCTCCACATCACCGACACCCAGTCGTGGCCCGTCGAGATCCCCGCCCTCCCCGAGCTCACCAACAAGGGCGCCTACTCCAAGGGCCTGACCTACAGCCCCGACGAGCTCGCCGACCTCCACGAGTACGCCGTCCACCGCGGCGTCCAGATCATCACCGAGATCGACATGCCTGGCCACGTCGGCATCGAGCAGGCCTACCCCGGCCTCTCCGTCGCCTTCAACGAGAAGCCCTACACCTGGTACTGCGCGCAGCCCCCCTGCGGCTCCCTGAAGCTCAACGACACCAAGGTCGAGGAGTTCCTCACCACCCTCTTCGACGACCTCCTGCCCCGCATCAACCCCTACTCGGCCTACTTCCACACCGGCGGCGACGAGTACAAGGCCAACAACTCCCTCATCGACCCGGCCCTCAAGACCAACGACCTCACCGTCCTCCAGCCCCTCCTCCAGCGCTTCATCGACCACGCCCACAAGAAGGTCGCCGAGCACAACCTCGTGCCCTTTGTCTGGGAGGAGATGCCCCTCGAGTGGAACATCACCCTGAGCAAGGACACCGTCGTCCAGTCCTGGCTCGGCAACGGCGCCGTCGGCCAGATCGCCGCCAAGGGCCAGAAGGTCATTGACTCCAACTACAACTACTATGTAAGTCCTCTACCCAAACTTGCTCATCGCACGCTCACAGCTAACCAATGCCACAGTACCTCGACTGCGGCCGTGGCCAGTGGCTCGACTTCGACACCCCCGTCTGGTCGACCTACTACCCCTTCAACGACTGGTGCAACCCCATCAAGAACTGGCGCCTCATCTACTCGTACGAGCCCCGCGACGGCGTCCCTGACGAGTACAAGGACAACGTCCTCGGCGGCGAGATGGCCGTCTGGACCGAGACCATCGACCCCGTCTCCCTCGACACCATCGTCTGGCCCCGCGCGGGCGTCGCCGCCGAGGTCTGGTGGTCGGGCCGCACCGACGCCCAGGGCAACAACCGCACCCAGTACGACGCCCGCCCCCGCCTCAGCGAGCAGCGCGAGCGCATGCTCACCCGCGGCGTGCGCGGCACGCCCATCACCCAGCAGTGGTGCGACATGAACGTTGTTGGCGACTGTGGCCAGCCCTCGTAAAGAGCGAGCGTGCGTTGAAAGAGGAGTAGTGGTGGAGAAGAGGGGGAACGGAGAGAAAATGGTGATTTAGAACCAACAAAGTCGCTGATGGACGGGGGATTTGGCTATGACGGGTTCGCTGGTCTTCCCCGAGAGATGTAACAGTAAATACTGGAAAAGATGATTTGGGAAAGAGCGGAGGAAATGTATCATGTACAGATTGCGGATAATCTCGGATGGGCTGTGATATCTGTCTGCCTCTACCTACCTAGCTAAACGAAATGAGAAACGTCTGTCAATTGACCCAAAAACAAACACGAATTATCTTGCTTGCGTGGTATCTTTGATGAAGTGTTGCAAGTAACGTCTGTGATTGTATCTCCTTGAGTGCGCAATGCTTGGTCTTTCCACCCCCTCGGCCATTGCAAATAAGTGCCTGGATATACTAGAGGAATAAGTACATAAGTAGCAAGAATTATTTAGTATATAAGTCATCTATCAGCAGATGATTTATTATTTTCGCAATAAAGAATCTATAGCCTACGATTGATATTAATTTGCCATCGTGGGAACCTACAGCTAAATGACTGCATCAAATGACACGGCTATAGGGTAAATAGAGGTGTAAGTAGCAATTTGGACCAAGCTACATTGCCAGTGCGTCTATTATTGTGAGCACATCCGCTAGTTTACATGTACTTCTGATCAGCTGGCGCCTGATTAGCTGCATGCCCTTGCTTCAATCTCCACAAGGCAATGAGCAGTTGAGGAGATGCGTGCAGGAAAATTGCGCTTGTTGGGTCAAGCCTGTTATTCGAGGCTCGCGTTAGTTAGTTAAATTTTTGTGGCTGGTGGTTATGCGTTGGTTGAATGATGGCGGTGAGTGTGGCTGGTGGTTAGTCTTCTGGAGTCTTTTGGCATGATTCTGCTGGAAGAGGGTGAATGTTGGTGGGCGATGACAATTGGGGGCCTTTGAAACGGGAAGAATACGGAGTGTTGGTGGACAGGGTTCATTCACAGCACAAAGAGTCACAAGCGGAGGCTGAAAGAGGAAAGATGAGGAGATACTAGTAGACAAATTGGAGACAAATAAATCAAATTAAATTGGTGCTCGAACAGGGCCGCAAACACTGCCAACAATAACATCCGTTGGGCTGACTGGCCATCTGAAACGGTGCTGGTGCAAGCAGCGACGGAGGAGAAAGAGTGGGTGATTGTGGGTGAGCGCCCTGCATGATTGGAGGTGGCCTGTGGGCGACCGGTTGGTCGGGTCACGCTTGGTCACTGACAGGCATGACTGTATTTCCATTTGTTCGACGGTGTAAGCAACAGAGTCTCTCCCACAATTGCCAGTCCTTGTCTAGAGGCTCCGTCAAGGCTGAGTCTGCGGGCGGGTGTGACTGCTTCTGGACGGCCTCACAAGGCGTGCTTGTGCTCTGTCTGTGTCTTTCAGTGTACAGGCAGACTCTGACCCACTGCCGCTGTTTGTCTGCTGGTCACAGCCAGAAGGACTAACGCTGGAGTGAGTGAGCCTTGGGGATTGCTCGTCTAGCCTGAGTAGAGTATAAATCCCCCCGTTTTCTCTCTCCCTTGCGCATGAGTCACCACAGTGAGGCCACAAATATCGAGAACAGAACTGCAGAACCCAGTGTCCCATTAACCAATCGATTACAAGAAACCATTTCCATCAGCAGCCAAGAAAACCCGACGCCCAGATACAGACAGCATGTCCAGCACCCCGTCAGCACAACAGGTTCAGGTTGGCACCTCTGCCCTCATCTTCAATGCAAAGAACCCGGACGAGTTCCTCATCGGGTGGCGCATAAGTAAAAGCCATGGCACAAGTAAGACAGCACCTCATTTTATGAACATCTTTCCCTCCCAGCCTGTTTCTCCCATGATTGTCTAAGGAGGTCTTTATGCTGTTTATGAATGCCCACCTTTGTTAATAAAACACCCCCTTTAATCGACACGAGATTAGAGTACACGCTGACCTGGAAATCACATCAGATTCGTGGCAATTGCCAGGCGGCCACTTAGATGTGGGAGAGAAGGTCAATGACTGCGCCGTCAGAGAGGCCAATGAGGAGACAGGCCTCAACGTCAAGGCCCTCGGAGAGATCATATGGACCAACGACATCTTTGAGGACGAGGACCCACTTAAGCACTACATCACACACCATATCGCCTGTGAGATGTTGGAGGCGGATGCCGTGCCGCGGGTCACAGAGCCCGACAAGTGCGCAGAATGGAGGTGGGAGACCCGGGAAGGACTCGAGAATCGCCAGAAGAATGGCGAGAAACTCTTTCTACCTCTAGAAAACCTGCTGAAGGAAACTGCTGGAACCAAGAAACTAAGAAATCCGAAAGTGTGTCCGGACGGAGCTCGAGGAAGTGAACAATAGGAAAAGCTTGTTTTTTTTTTGGCCGCCCCTGAAAGGCAGCAGTCACGAGAGCGAGAAACAGGAGAGGTTGTTAGAGGGATAGAGAGACACGGATGCAAAATCCAAAATTACATCTTTGGTATCTACGTCGTGGCAGCGCATTTTGTCTGGGAGTTGGTCTCATTTTGAAATGATCGCCATCTCCTACTTGTCGTTTGTGTCCTTGGGGGCTGGGAGCTAGATGCAGGGAACCTGCATAAGATTACCGTATCCATATGCCTATCGTAATTATGAGGAGCAGATTTTTGGAACCACGAGGCTCGAGCGTGCATGTGCCGAGAGAAGTCAGTCTCAGTTGGCTCGCCATCTCCACTGACGTCGTATTGTGACACGGACTGATTCTTGACGTATTCTTTGTTCTTATCTCTTGACTAAACTTTTAGATTTTCTCATCGCCGCTGAAAACGACAGGTTGAGGCGACGGAGCCAAGACCAATGTTGCACCATGTTGGGTTGTGTCTGTTCTCTGAACGGGCCTTTCTCAGCCACCGCTGCCTGCCTATGCATGTCTTGGAAAAGCTCTGTCCAGGTGGATAAGCTGTTTATCCGGATGAAGCCGTCGCCGCTGAGCTCAACCAATCGCCTTGGCGGACGCTGCAGCCATCGCAGGTCTGATCTCGGAGGAAAGACGACCTCTCATCTCCCTCCTGTCTCAACCGATCTGCCGGTGGGGGGCTGCACAGCTAAAGAGAACAGGAACAGGAATAGACAGACGCAGGTCTGAGACGAAGGCCCCCCTCCCGCCCCTCCAGGAAGCCATGTCGTTTGATAGAGAGGGGCTCGCTTGCGTATGAACCGCGCCATCTCAGTTTAGCTTGGAGGCACGAGCGATCCCTTGGCGGGGGATCTGACAGATGGCGTTCTCTAACTACCTAGGAAAAGGGATGCTTGTTGAGCCAATCGACTTCGGATCGCGGCACGGAAAAGCAAAAATAGAGATTGGCTTGCATACGCTTGAGGTTGTTTGTCCGTCGTATAGGCTAATTTGATGCCGACCTGATGGCCATAGGTTCCCATATGCCAAACTTGGATGGGACTGAAGCCCCCTCACTACACACATGAACCGCTGGCAGCCTGATGAGTGACTTCTCTTGTGGCTAAGTACAATTACGTACTTGCCGTTATGACAATGGCGCCTCGCCTTCTGATGCCCCAGTTGGGGATGAGGACTTCCCGCTAGGTGCCGTGTTCTACCTTCGTGAGACAACCGCCTGCCGCCGCTCATCACCAAATAGGATATCTGATTCGCTTTCTCACAGTCACCTGTGCTTCATTGGCCCCCGCCTCGTGATGTCGCCACAGTCAAATCTCCCAACCTCTATACCGCCTGGTCGAACTGCGACATCCTCAGCTTGCCGGCCACGACAGGCTCGAGTCTGGGTCACCGATCCCTGCTGGGATCTCATCTCAGAGGTCTCAGAACATCACGCCGGTCGAGGCAGGACGGCGATGGCATCTTGAGCGAGATCATGTTCCCTTACCTGCAGGTATAAGAAGGGATGAGATCGCTGTCCAAATATTTCCCTTCTCATCATTCACAACAACACCTTCCTTCACATAGTCAATCATTCATTCCTTCTTTAGTATATCCTGCTCACAATTGTCTAATACTTTGAGTTTTCCGCACATTTTTGCATTGATTTCTTGTCTTTGATTCGGCTCAATCTTGTTCATAATGGCCGGTCTCGTCACTCAACTGCAAGTCCTTGCTCAGGAGAGCGGATGCTTCCTCGACATCTCCGCCTTGATCGACCTGAGCATCTGCCCCAACATCAATGTCAAAGCCGACAGGCCCAAGATCGTGAACGTCAAGGAAGACGGCCACATCTGCATCACCCCCACCGAAGTAAGTATAAAGCATCCGAATGGCTAACCATGAACCCATCGGCTAACTTGATCAGGGGGGAAACAACGGAAACAATGGCGGCAACCCCAACCCTGGAAACAACGGCGGCAACCCCAACCCGGGCAACAACGGCAACAACGGCGGTAACAATGGCAATCCAAACCCTGGGAACAACGGCAACGGGAGCCAGCCCAAGCCCGACCCCAACCAAAACGGTAACACCAACAACCCCAACCCGGGAAACAATGGTGGTAACAACGGTGGTAACCCTAACCCGGGCAACAATGGCGGCAACCCCAACCCGGGCAACAACGGTGGTAACCCCAACCCGGGCAACAACGGTGGTAACCCCAACCCGGGCAACAACAGTGGTAACAACGGCGGGAATCCCAACCCGGGCAACAATAGCGGGAATCCCAACCCGGGCAACAATGGTGGTAACAACGGCGGTAACCCCAACCCCGGTGACAACGGCAATGGCGGTAACCCTAACCCTGGTAACAACGGCGGTAACAACGGAGGCAACAACGGCAACCCCAACCCCGGTGATAATGGCAACAATGGTGGTAACAACGGGAACCCCAACCCTGGGAACAACGGTGGTAACAACGGCGGCAATCCCAACCCCGGTGATAACGGCAACGGTGGTAACCCCAACCCGGGCAACAATGGTGGTAACAACGGAGGCAATAACGGAAACCCCAACCCGGGCAACAATAGCGGTAACAACGGAGGTAACCCCAACCCCGGTGACAACGGCAACGGCGGCAACCCCAACCCTGGAAACAACGGCGGCAACCCCAACCCGGGCAACAACGGTGGTAACCCCAACCCGGGCAACAACGGTGGTAACAACGGCGGGAATCCCAACCCGGGCAACAATAGCGGGAATCCCAACCCGGGCAACAATGGCGGGAATCCCAACCCGGGCAACAATGGCGGGAATCCCAACCCAGGTGACAACAAGCCCGATCCCAACCAGGGCGGCAACAATGGCAACCCCAACCCCGGTAACAACGGAGGCAACCCCAACCCTGGCCAGTGCCCCACGAACACATGCTTCGAAGTCCCCGATGAGGTCTGCGAGAAACCCCTCGTTGCCCTCGATCTCGACATCCTCGTTCTCCTTGATCTCCTCACTGAGGAGGAACTTGAGAAGTACCTCAAGATCACTGGCGCTATGCCAAAGGATGACAAACTCGAGGTTGACAAGAAGCCTGTCGGCGTTGACCCTCTGCTCAGCTTGGGACTTCTCAATGAAGATGAAATCCTTGGCCTGAACCTCGGTGGCGAGAATGGCCTGCTCAACCTTGGTCTCGGAGGCAAGAATGGCCTTGCCAAGCTCAGCCTGGGTAAGGATGGTAGCATCCTTGATCTGAACCTCCGCAAGCGCCATGGCCACGATGATCACTACGATAGCCTCCTTGACATTGACGTCGGTGGACAGAAAGACGACAAGAACGCCGCAATTGATATTGATGTCCTTACTCACGATCGTCGCCACGACGAATATGATGGTCTCCTTGATATCGATGTCGGTGGACAGAAAGACGACAAGAACGCTGCCATTGATGTTGATATCCTCACCCACGAGCGTCGCCACGACGAATATGATGGCCTCCTTGACATTGACGTTGGTGGTAAAAAGGACGACAAGAACGCTGCGATTGATATTGATGTCCTTACTCACGATCGTCGTAACTGTGGATCTACCTGCCACGACGGACAGGACTGGCCTCCAAGCACTCAACCTACCAACCCATCCACCAACCCATCCACCTACCCTTCGACCAACCCTTCGACAAACCCTTCCAGCAACCCTTCAAGGAACCCATCATTGATCGACATTGATGTTCTTGGCACGAAGGACAAGGAACAGGCCACCATCGACATCGATGTTCTTACTCACGAGCGCCGTAGCAAACTCTCCGCCCGCCAGCACCCCAAGCACCTGCTCGATTCCCAGGGTCTTCTCGGCATCACCGTTGGTGGCAAGAAGGATGAGGAGCAGGACTTGATCGACATCGATGTTGCTACTCACGAGCGCCGTGACGGTGGTGACAAGGGACTTCTTGACGTCGACGTTGGTGGCTACAAGGACGAGCAGCAGTCTACCATTGATATTGACATCCTGACCAAGAACCGCCCCTCCAAGGACCAGCCTACCCCTGGTGGAAACAGTGGTAACCTCGACCACTACGAGCCCATCTGCAAGAAGGCCATCAAGGACCGTGCCTCTGCCGTCAGGGTCAAGGCCAAGGACGTCAACCACTGCCTGTCGCTCTGCTCTGCCACTGCCGCTCGCGCCACCATTGCCGCCAACCCCGGGGCCGTCAGCGCTGCCAACATCAAGGTCTGTGCCGCCATTGACTTCAACTCCTCGGCTGTGGATGGCAACAACTGCGCTTTCCTTGTCCGCGGCAAGGATGAGTCTTTTGCCGACACTGAGCTCGTTGACAACGACAAGCACGTTGTCTTCCTCCGCAAGTAAGGTCATCTTACCTTGATAATGAAATGGGAGTCACTTGACCCTTGTCGTTCTGGCTTAGCCGGGCGATACGCATCACGGGGATTGGAGGTATATACTGGGAGATGTATAGATGACACGTGAAGCATGAACGCATTCTTTTCTCTGTCCTTACTTCATAGCTGAAGGCGGTTCTTTTTCTTTCCCTTCGTTTCACCCTTATTTAACAGGCTCAGACGCTTGATACGAAGCCATTTTGACATTTTTGTACTTTCGCTCGTTGTTAATAAAGAACTCGTTCGTTTTTAATATTGTGCAATACCTGCTCCTGATTAGTGACTGTCTCCAAACCCACCATTTATTCGATCGTATAGAAAGCAACACTCGCACAGTATTAACTGCTAGGTAGCATATCAAAGGCAATTTAACATCGATATATGCCTTCAACTTGTGACCACTTAGCAATGGAAATCAAGCAGCCGTGAACTCGTCAAAGGATGATAGAAGCTGCTTGAGGCCTAGTTACTATAAAGTAGCATAGAGAACTAATAGCAAAGCTTCTTTCCCGTATTAGGGGCCTAATGTTCTGAGGACTGGGAACTGAAGCCAGGGTACAGAACCCTCTGGTAAGGCTTGGTGAGCGACGCGTGTATGCGACAAGTGTGTATTAGTACCGGGAGGAATCTAGGCAGCAGCAATAAACGCAGGTGAATCGAACCGAGCTGGATCGTTATTCTCACTCAACACAATAGTAGTTGTCACTGCTTTCAATGACCTCCTACTTGAATGAGTAGGGGCACGTTCCAGTGCTGTCAACAGAGTTCGGTTCATGGTGGCTAGTCTCGATAGAGACATACCCGCTTATGTGCATATCTCTCCTGCCAGATCAAGGACATCGCCAAATCGTATCGCAGTAGCCGAGCATCGAGCTTGAAATGACGACAAAACATGGTGGTAGACTGACTGATACTACGTCCCGCGCGAACCCGCATTGCATCTGCACATGCAGCAGCTCACCACGCCAATGCTGTGACACCAAGTAGCCCCATGATGCCCTCGCCATGTCTACCCTGTCCGAACCTCGCCGGCCACGCCTCCTGCCCCAGAACCGCAAGCTCCGACATCTGAAGGGTCTGTCGCTGCGCAACCTCTGCTTCGCTCCCGCGCATCGCCAAACCACCGACGATGCCGTCATCGGCCGCAGCCCGCACCGTGCGAAGCTCGAGGCCCTCCACGAAGCCGGCTCCCTGGTTCACTCGCGGTCCTCAGAGCACCTTAGGCCGAACGCGCTGAGGTCCTCTTCGTCCAATGTCCTGAGGCCGCCCAAAGCTCGTAGGACCAGCCTAAGCCTCGGCTCGACACAGCTGAACCTGCAATCCAGACAGAAGAAACTCGAGGAGCTCGTGGAAGCCGCGGTTGGCGACGTCTTCTTCACGCTGCATGTGACGGATGTCGAGGACCCGGTCTACATCAGCGAAGTGTGCGAGAGGTCAGCGGTATGGCGCGCAATCCCTCACCATGTGCGTTTCTCTTTGGATGGGCTCTGACGATTTTGACTAGAACTTCGACTTCCAATTCTTCGATTTGTCGAACCGCCAACCATCCATATCCCGCACGCACCGGCTCACGATCCGACTCTGGGCGAAGCGACCTAAAGATGCGTGGAGCTTTTTGCTGGAGGAGATTATTGACTTGCGCCAGCTCAACTTTATCGGAACCCTCCTCGATAGACGATACCCTCCAAATGCATTGGTCTTCCACCTTGAAGATGGTGTGTACTCGTTCGACTTCCCGAACAAGATATCCGACCCTAAACAGATCCCGCCCATCCCGACCTCGTCGTACAATGCGCTGATGAAGCTCGCCAACCTGGAAAGCTCAATTGAGGACGCGATCGAGACACAGAAGCACATCATGCACCAGATCAATAACATACTGCAAGAGGACCCCCCTGATTCATCCGACATGGCGCAAGAGGACGTAAAAGTCGCAAACGCCTATGTTTCAGCCCAGCAACGGGCCAACGCCATCGCCCGGCGCAAACGAGACGAGCTTAGAGAGTCGCTCGCCAACCGCCGAGCGGCAATTGCAAAGGGAAGAGAGCAGCAGGCCGAGGCGGAGGAGGACATTGCCAACAACCGCCAGCAGCTGGAGGCGTCCAAGCAGCTCGTCGAGCAGACCGAGCGGCAGATCCATGGGCAGCGCCGCCGTATCTGCTCCGAGCTGTCAGAGATATTCCCCATCACCCCCATCCCCAACGCGCCGCCCCTGTCCTTCCAGATCTGCAACATACCTCTGCCAAATTCAGTCTACGACGCGACCATAGCCCGTACCATTAGCGAGGATACGCTGTCCGCTGGTCTTGGCCTCGTTACCCTCCTCACCAAACATCTCCAGTTCTATCTATCACATCATATCCCCTACCCTCTCTACCCGTATGGTTCCCGCTCCTCCACTCGCGACGACATATCCCATCTCCCCGATTCAAAATCCACCACCCGTGATTTCCCACTCTACCTTCCCCGTGGCGGCTCTACAACGGGCCAGTGGCGCTTCGAGTATGCCTGGTTCCTCCTCAACAAGGACATCGAGGCGCTCTGCGCTTCCCAGGGCCTCAAGGTGGTGGATATCCGCCACTCCCTCCCCAACCTAAAATACCTTTTATACGTTTGCAGCGCCGGCTCAGAGGACGTCCCCGAGCGCAAAAAGGGCGGCGTGAGGGGCCTGTGGCTCGGCCGGCTCATGAGCAGAAACTCCCTTGCGCCCCCGTCCGTCGATGGCGAGAGCAGCCGGAGGGGAAGCACAGACAGCCAAGCTACCCTCCATCCCCACGGCGACGTGCTGCGTAGCCCCGTCAAGGAGAACGGGGCCAGCGTGGAGGGGCTCCCGCTCCCGTTCGCGGAGAGCGATGTCAACTTCACGCTGCGGACAAAGGGGCTGAGGGAGAATGTCGCGTGAAAACACATTTCCTGCCCAGTTAGGGCCGGAATCAAATCTTGATCACTAGCATGTAGTTCTGTCATATGAGCGCGGAGGGTTGTGAATTAGCGTAATTATCTCTAGCATAGCAGAGCGTCTGATTTAATACAATATATCCAAACCCACATACAGTGAGTGACCCTTTCCAAGCCCAAAGACGAGTAATGTACACCACTGCCCCGAGAAAAGGACTACGTGGATCTCATTAGGAAAAGGAGCAGCCCGTGAATGCCACTCCAGAAAAACGCCAAACAAAACCCAAAAAGGGATAAAAATCGTAAAAGAAAACAACTTAAACTCCTGCCCTCATGCTTCATCGATCCGTCCCCGCAAACTTGACGCTCTTCCTCCGTTCCCTCTCGCCAATCATCCTCCCCGGACTCGAGCTGAGGATCCCGCCGCCGCTGCCGGACGAGCCCTTGCTCAGCGCCTCCCGCGCCATCCCCACAGCCTTGCTCTGCGGCACGTCGTCGCGGTCGCTCCTCACCACCCCGGTGCCGC